TTATTGCTGTTTGCTAAACCTCCCACCTGTAGCCTGTAGGGGGACACCCAGTACAAAGCCTCAGGTCAGGTGCTGGACACCTGTTCCTATCTTCTTTTCTAGGTGGGAGCTTTCTCTTCAAGTCTAAAGCCAGACACGCCCTTGGCAAAGAACTGGGAGCAATTTGATCCCCAGACCCTGCACCTTACCTTCTTCTGCACACAAGCCTGGCCTCAATACAAACTCCCTGATGGAGAGGCTTGGCCTCCTGAAGGAAGCATTCAATATAATAAGATCATGCAGCTAGATTTATATTGCCACAAGGAAAGAAAATGGTCAGAAATCCCACATGTACAGGCCTTCTTTGCCCTTAGGGAAAGTAAAAGACTATCTCTAAATTACTCTAAATTATCAGCACTGATACAGGGAGAAAAGGAAAGCCCCTCAGCCTTTCTAGAACAGCTCAGGGAGGCATCGGTGAAACACACTTTCATGTCCCCAGAGGGCTGAGTCATTCTTAAAGGTAAATTTATCACACAGTTGGCCCCAGATACCAGGAGGAAGTTACAAAAATTGGCGTTTGGCCCAAAACAAAATCTGGAAAGCCTCTTGAAGTTCACTGCATCAATTTTCTATAATAGAGACGAGGAGGAGAAGAGGGACCGGGAGAGGGGAGACAAGCGAAAGGCAGAGGCATCAGCGACGGCCCTGCAGAGAGTCAACGTCAGGCCTCCAAGGCCAGAGAAGGGGAGACCAGCCCCAGGCACCGGGCCCCGGGCGGCTTGCTTCCTCTGTGGCAGAGAGGGGCATTTTCAGTGAGAATGCCCTAGGGTTGGGCGCCCCAAACCGCCAATGCCCTGCCCGCTCTGCCAAGGGGACCACTGGGAGCTGGACTGCCCTCAGAGGCATGGGCAACTGGGATCGGATTTGCAACAAGGTGGTCGGGACTGAAGGGGCCCGGGGCTGCCCACGCCGGCTCCTGTCACCGTCATAGCCCCACAGGAGCCCCGGGTGAGTCTCTCCATAGGAGGCCACACCATCGATTTCCTGCTCGATTCAGGAGCCGCCTATTCGGTCCTCCTCCATAATCCTGGCCCTCCCTCCTCCCAGTCAGCTACTGTCAGAGGCAGATCTGGGAAGCCCAGGACCAAATATCTTACTCAGCCTCTAAGTTGTGCGTGGGACTCGGTGCTGTTCTCCCATGCCTTCCTAGTGGTCCCAGAAAGTCCGACGCCACTTCTAGGCCGTGATATACTTTCTAAAATACAAGCCTCTGTACATATGAACAAAGAGAGAAGTGATGTCTCCTCTTAGTGGAAGTGGACATTAATTCTGAGGTCTGGGCAACTAATGGAATCATTGAAAGAGCAAAATCAGCCCAGCCAGTACAAGTTCATCTTAAAGACCCTAATCACTTTCCTCATAAGAGGCAGTATCCCTTAAAACCAGAAGTTTGTGAAGGTTTAAGGCTAGTTATTAATAACCTAGAGACTCAAAGCCTCTTGACAGCCTGTAACAGTCCTTGCAACACTCCCATATTAGGAATACAAAAGCCAGACAGAAGCTGGCACCTTGTACAAGATCTACGAGCCCTTAATGAGGCAGTTGTGCCCCTACATCCTGTAGTACCTGATCCCTAGACCCTGTTACCCAGGATTCATGAGGGAGCAGCAGGGTTCACTGTGCTAGACCTGAAGGATGCTCTCTTTTGTATCCCGCTTGCACCTGAATCCCAGTTTCTCTTTGCTTTTGAAGATCCTGTAAATCCCTCAGTTCAATTAACCTGGACAGTTTTGCCCCAAGGATTCAGAGGTGGCCCACATCTATTTGGGCAGGTCTTAGCCAAGGACCTGGCCTCCTTTGAATCAAGGGAGGCAGAAGAAATCATCCCATATATGGATGATATACTTCTCTGCACCACCACAGAGACAGGGTGTCAGGAAAGTACTGAGATTACTGAGCTTTCTAGCTGATTGTTGCTATAAGGTCTTTCGTCAAAAGCACAGATCTGTCAGCAGCAGGTGAAATATCTAGACCTTAACCTCTCCCAGGGAACCAGAGCCCTGGGGGAAGAGAGAATTCAGCCCATTCTCTGCCACCCATTGCCCTCTACTATCAGGCACCTGAGGGGATTCTTAGGCATCACTGGATATTGCAGAATTTGGGTCCCCAGAAATGAAAAATTAGCCAGACCCCTCTACCAACTCCTTAAAGAAGCCCAAAGGGAAGACACCATAAAACTCCAGTGGGACCCTAACGCTGTTAAAGCTTATGACACTTTAAAGAAAGCCCTGCTCCAGGCCCCCACCTTCAGCCTGTCCACTGGAAACTGGGTTAACCTATTCGTTACTGAGCAATCAGGAGTGGTGCTGGGAGTACTGACTCAACCTTGGGGAGAAATGCAGCAGCCCGTAGCCTACCTAAGCAAGGAACTAGACCCCATGGCTAAGGGCTGGCCACACTGTCTGAGGTCTGTCGCAGCCGTAGCCCTGCCAGTACCTGAAGCCACAAAACTGACCCTGGGAGGAGACTTAATAGTGCATGCACCCCATAATGTCACCAGCTTCCTGAACACCCGGGGGTCCTGTGGCCGTCACACAGCAGGCTACTAAAATATCAGTCACTCCTTGAGGGCGCTGGAACCCAGCTGTGTACATGCTCCACCCTAAACCCAGCCACCTTCCTACCTGAGTCCATGAGCAAAGGACCTGAGCACAACTGCCAGCAGGTCCTTGCCCTAAACTATTCTGCCAGAGAAGATCTAAAAGACACCCCCTTAGAGAACCCAGAGCTTGTCCTCTTACTAATATTTGGTCACATTTACTTAACCTAATAACACGATTGGTTCTATCTCGCCTAGAAACCATAAAACTGCAAATGGTAATGGAAATGGAACCCATGATATTAGTGCCCAGCATCCAGGGTCTCTCGACCCACCACTGATGGAGACCTAGCTGCACCCCTTACTGCACCCCCTCTCAGCATGAATCAGCCAGATTGGTAGTTGCCCCCTTTCCCTAGCAGTAGCTAGGGCCTCCATCTTAGAGGGGGAATGAGACAGGGACCATAGATTTAGGCGAGTAGGGTGAGGGCCTCCAGAAAAAGCAAAACAATACAATTACAGTCAGAACAATGTAACAATGTGCAAAGAAGTCCCTATCGAAACTCTGTGTTAAGCATTACGCAAAGTCAGAGTCACATTTACAGCAGGGCCTTGAACATTATCTGTGCCTGTCCCATAATAACCCCTGTCCACTCCCCACTACCTCCATGCAGGCACACGTGCCTGCCAGCGCACGTGCACGGAGGGAGGGGAGGCAGCTGACATCCAGCCTTCCCAGCACAGCCTGTGCTTCCCCTTCCCATGTCTCCCAGAGGAAAAGGGCCCCAGGCTGGCTGGAGACTAGAGGCCAAGCTCTCTCCCTTCCCTGCTTCTTCCCTGGGACTCTGTGAAGGCCAGGAACAAGGCCTGCAGACACCTGCTCCCCTAGTAGCTCCCCAGTTGGCCACCCAGCAGAGGAGCAAGACCCCTTCTTGTGTTGCCTGGAGCCGGACGCTGGGATGAGGCTGAGAAGGGACATGCACATGGTGCCTACCTCGGGGAGAAACAGTCTCACAGAAGAGACAGCAAACACACACACTGTTCCCCACATCAGGACCAAAGATGTGCTGTCTGTTGGTACTGACAGCAAGGGTGTGAGTCAGAGGGGTCAGGAATGGCCAAGGAATGGCCAAGGAAAGCTTCACGGTGGAGGAGGCCTAGGTAGGCCTCGAGGAAGCCGGGCCTCCAGGGGAGAGGAGCCCAGGAAGAAAGACTCTCTGGGTTGCTAGCCCTTCTCACTGCTTCACCAGGGATTGAAACATGGGATGTGTGCTCTGTTCTGCATGGGCTCCATGCACCTGGCCTGGCTCTGAGTGGGGCCTGTCCCTTTGGTCCATTGTGGAGTAAGGGAGACAGCAAGAGAGGCGGGGACCTGCTACTGCTCCCCACTTTTCAGGCCTTCCTTTGCCTCCAGGCAGTGGTGACAGGTCTCACACAGGAGGCACGCCCCCGCCCAGGGGCAATCTAGTGTGATTCTCTTGGCCCCTGGTGTTCTTGCTAGGTGAATCTGACTTAAAAACAACTCAGGGTCAACCTTACAGGGAAAAGATTTCATCAGAGGCTAATACACAGGCTGGGAGATCTCCCACTGGACCTAGGCGACAGCATGTGGGAAGTGCAGAGGGGTCTCTGTGTCGCTGCTCTACCCTCTGCTTTGTGAGCCACAGGACTGGCTGTGGGTGTCATCCCCATTCCAGCACACACCCCTACGAAAGGAACTGACTTTGAACAGGGCTTTGATAAAGGTTGTTTACATACATGGATGAGTAAATTGAACAGTGTATAGACCAAGTGCCTGGGGGCTGCAGGAAGAACCTTGTAAAGGTGGACTCAAGGTCAGAAGACTTGTGCTCCCAGCCCTGCCAATGTCCAGCTGTTTGGCCTTGAACAAGGCATTTCCACCCTCTGGACTTGGGCCCCTTACCCAGGCCTCTACCAGTCTTGACCCCCTAGGCTCTGTTAGCAGACCCCTGCCATACTCTCCGAGGGCTGTGTCTGTTGAAGTGCAGTATATACCTCACAGAATCCCTGCATGAATATCCCCTGGGAGTTTTTTTAATGCAGGTTTCAGAGCCTTAGTTCTAGACCTGCTAAATCTAGAGCTTGAGGATGAAGGCTAACGATCTGCATTTTAACTAGTACCCCACATGATGTTTGCAAACAGCTGTCAACGGGACATGCTTTCTCCTATGCTGCCTTGGCCTCCTTTCTCCCCACCACCCACCCAAGTCTGCCAGTAACCTAACTCCTTTCTATGCAACCCACCCCCAACCACGACACTCCCCACAAGGGCCAACACCACAGTGTTAGGCAATCCTTCTACCCTTGACCCTTTCCTTTGCATGGTAAGTGATGGCTTTTTTTTTATCTCCTGATGATGAAGTACAGCCTTCAGCCAGGGGCATTTAAGACGCAGAACACACGTCCTAGCTGCAGCTGTGCGGCCGAGGCAGACCTTGACAGGCTCTAGAAGGAAGAAGCCACCCAAGGGAAAAGCAGAATCCAGCCCCAGCCCCACTTGCACCTCTGCCGCCGGAACAATGCTCTTAGCAACATTTAAACTGTGTGCCGGGAGCTCCTACAGATATGTGCGCAACATGAAGGGTGAGTTCATGGAGAGGGCCCCTCAGGCAGTGTGGTTTATTGGGGAAAGTGCTGGCTGGGGGGCAGACCATGCAGGTTCTGATCCAGGCATGCCCCCCACTAGGTGAGCCTGCGCAAGTTTCTTGCCTTGGGAGCTCAATTCCCCCCCTCCACTACCATGAGTCAGGCTGGATCCTAAGTGGCCTGTGTCTCTGTCCCAGGTTCTGTGATTCCTTGTCTCCCCCTGAGGGCTCCCATCTTTCCTTGACCTTTTCCCAAAGATGCCAGGGAAGTCCTAGCTACTGCGGCAGAGATAGGAGTAAGTCTTGACTCTAATAAGCAGTGTTGGCAAGCCTGAGACATGGGCAGGGCAGAAAGGAGAGGAGCAAGACACCAGGAGAGTGAGCTAGAGAAAGTGTGTGTGTGTGTGTGTGTGTGTGTGTGTGTGTGTGTGTGTGTGTGTGTGTGTGTGTGTCTTGTTATTGTGCAATCACAAATGGGTCCTGAAAGCCACTTTTTTGTAGAAAGTTAGGTCCTGGGGTCACATAAGTCGATCCCTTGCTGTTGTTGAAGGGCACACAAACCAATCTAAACTAGTCCTTTCCAATTACCTTGGGTTGAATGAGCTACCATTTAGACAGAAGCCAAGCTTGGAAGCCCTGTACCCGGGCCTGGGGCTGTTCTCACTAGGTGAGCAGCTAGCCGGCTCTGCCCCCAGGGGCACCCTCCTGAGCAGTTTCTCATGCAAAGGACCCTAGTTGCCAGCACTACACAGACCTCAGGGGACTGGTGTCTAATTCTCTTTCTGTAGAAGGGTTTTTCTGGCTGGTTAAACAAATCTCTCCCTTCAAGAAGTAAATGTCCTTCTTGGCCTGCAGGCTGGACCCTGATGGCTTTGGTCTTGGCCTTTCAGAGGAAAGATCAGATCTAGAGGTCAAAGGACCAGGTGTGGCCAGCCCAGGTGGAAGGCAGACGTCGGGGCCCTGGAGGCAGCCTGGTGTGCTGTCACCAGCACTGGACTGGGAGCTGACCTGGCTCTACTTTGGGTCACAACTAAGAATCTGTGCTCCTGAGCAAATCACTTCCCTCTCCAAGCCAGTTTCCCCATCTGTGACAAGATGAAGAGCTGGAGTGGCCCCTAAGGGGGTTCCTGCCCCTAAGCAGCATTCCCTCCCTTCCTGCAGGGCTGAGGCAGCAAGCTGTGCTGGCCATAGGCCAGGAGCTGAACCGGAGGGCACTGGGGGGCCCGGCCCCAGGGATGTGGATGAACCAGGTTCAGCGGCGCAGCTCTCTGCTCGGTAAGTGCTCGGGCTCCCTAGGCAGCAGGCTCTGGGGGTCGCTCTGGTTCCCTCCCCAACCGCAGCCCCTCCCCTGGCTTTGAGAGGATGGGAATGGAGTTCCTTGAGGCCAGATCGCCACCCCACCATCACTTGCAGCTGCTATTTGTCTAACTTGGCCTGCAGGCTGGACCCTGATGGCTTTGGTCTTGGCCTTTCAGAGGAAAGATCAGATCTAGAGGTCAAAGGGATGGAAGCTGGTGGGACCAGAAGGGAAGCTGGGTTTCTCCTTGACTGTATATCCAGGTTCTCAGCTCGAAGACACTTTCTACAGTGACCAGGAGCTGGCCTATATCCAGCAGGGAGAGGGGGCCATGCAGAAAGCCCTGGGCATCCTCAGCAACCAGGAGGGCTGGAAGAAGGAGAGCCAGCAGGTAAGGGCGGACGTGGAAGCAGCACGGCTCATTTTCCACTGCTGTCCTCCAGGCCAGCTGGGGCTGCTGCTTTTCTGAGTTCCTGCCTCATGCAGCAGTCACTGGGCAGCAAATAGTTTTAACTTGAAACTTCTTTGTCAAGAATATATCCTCAGATACTCGATTCCCATCAAAGCCATCCCAGAGACTCGCGCTTGAGAAACAGTGTCCTTGCAGTGGGGCCTGTGTGCATTAGGGGTCCTGCCCTGGTCAGAAGGTCCAGTGCTGAGGTGCAGTTCATGCTGCTCAGCCCACCTAGGGCTCAGCTTGCAGGGGTGGGTCACCCGGGCTCACCTGAACAGGGCTGCACCCAAGGCCTTCTGGGGTTCTCTGCTCCTGAATGCTGCCTCTTCACTGGGAGCCGGTAACAAGGCACATGATCAAGCTCAGCAGCTCTGTTGACACTTTGGGGGCTTTATCTGCACAAGCTTACATGCTGTCCATTGACCAAAGTTCAGGTAAAACCTCTCCTCCAAATTCTGAGTTAACAGACTTCTAGTTTGGAAGTCAAGGAATCTGGGAGTGCCAGCAATACTCTTAGGCTAAGGGTCTCTGGGCGAATCACTGAAACCTCTGGTCCTACATCCTTCTGGTTGGAATAAAAAAGTCTTTTAAGATCCCATCTAACATTCTCTGTATGTCATCAGCTGGTTATAGACCAGAATTTCTCCACTCCTAGGTTTGTCTCTCAGATTCTTTGAGCTTTCTGAACTTTAGGGCCTTTTCAGCTGTACCTACCCACACCCATCAACATTAGCCACCGTGAAAAAGGGTCTAGGAGGCAGGCGGGTCACCTCCCAAGTCTCCAGCAGATGCAGGAGGCATGTGGCAGAAAAGATCACCTACTCACAGAAATGGTTCCAGGCCTCCTCACTCAGCTTAGTGCTTCTTCCTGCCTGGCCTGGCGCCATCTATGCCCCAGGCTAGGAATGCTTTTCTCTAACCTTTATCCTGGGCTCTCTTTTCTCCCTGACAGGCAAATGGGGACAAAGTGCTGAGTAAAGTGGTTCCAGACGTGGGCAAGGTGTTCCGCTTGGAGGTGGTGGTGGACCAGCCCATGGAGAGGCTTTATGAAGAGCTGGTGGAGCGCATGGAGGCAATGGGAGAGTGGAACCCGAACGTCAAGGATATCAAGGTGAGGAGTCCAGGGCTGGGTGGCAGGGACCCGTGAGAGCCCAGTCTGAAAGGTGGGCAAACGGAGGGTCTGCAAGTTGTTGAGTGGTGCTTCAGCCCAGCACTGTCTGGACAGTGATTCTGGTTCCTGTGGCCTGACAGGTTCTGCAGAGGATCGGAAAAGATACAGTCATCACCCATGAACTGGCTTCGGAATCAGCAGGAAACCTGGTGGGGCCCCGTGACTTCGTGAGCGTGCGTTGTGCCAAGCGCCGAGGCTCCACCTGTGTGCTGGCTGGCATAGCCACACACTTTGGGGAGATGCCTGAGCAGAAAGGTGTCATCAGGTAATAATGATAGCGGGCTCAAAAGCTCCCTTTCCTAACATGGGCCTGTGGACATGCACGTGCCAAGTGTGCGATCAACTCCTGGCTCCAAGAAACAAATCCTTGGTCCCTACCCTTAGCTTCCTTTTCCAAAGAAGATTCTTATTTATTTTCCATAGCAGCAGAGGGGAAAAAAATTGGTCCTACTTATAACCAGTTTGTCCTGACCCTCCCACAAAGTTTCAGAACCTTAGTTATTTTCTAAAATAAAGGTAGGGCTGAGGTTTAGCTGGTCTGCTCAGGTACAACTGTTGATTAAAATCCATGCCACTTAGAACACAGCTGCTACCTGAGTTTCCCAGGGCCCCAGCCACCCACCTGGACCCTCTCCCTGACCTCCCTGTCAACCAACTAAAAAGCACCACAGGCCTCCAGGTTCCAGATCCAGCTCCAACCAGCATTTGTTCTAATGAGCTGATAACCATGCCAACTCTTCTTAAATATCACTCTTGGCAAAGGATACCTCTCTGATGAAGTCTGGAAAAGACAAGATACTCAAGACTGTGGCTAGTGTACTAGTTAGCATAAAAGAGACCGTGCATTATCTCCCTGACTTGACATCTCTTCGTTTGCCAGAGCTGAGCACGGGCCCACCTGCATGGTGCTCCGTCCCCAGGCTGGAAGTCCCTCCCAGACCAAACTCACTTGGCTGCTCAGCATTGACCTCAAGGTGAGGGGCACCAGAGGGGGCTCAGTGGGTAAGCAGTGGTGAGAAAAGGAGGCTCTTCCCCTCCCACGTTATCCCTTATGAAACAGGAAAAACCCTCTTCCATTTTGAAAAGAATCATGGTTGGAGAGAATTGAGTGATGGTCTACTTGCTAATTCATCATCTCAAATGCCTGCAATCATTCTTACCTCTTTCTCCTATCAAATTGTAACTCTATAGCTATCATTTTAGAAAGGACACTTAAGCCCAAAAAGGTATGATAAATAGCTCAGGGCCACACAGCTGGGAAGACAGGGCTGAAATTTGCTTTGACCGAAAACCCTGTGCTTCTGACAGTTAAGACAGCAGGGATGCAGTTCTCCAGCCCTTGACCCTGATCAACTGCAAGGTTGCACCTATGCACTGGGTTGGAACACCAAGCCCTGGAACTGTTATGTTTGGGATAGGGTACAGAGGTATCCAGGTGAAAACACCACCCACAAGATGGCCAAATTCTTGTGTCTTCTATGCTAGGGATGGCTGCCAAAGACTCTCATCAATCAGGTCCTGTCACAGACTCAGGTGGACTTTGCCAACCATCTGAGGAAGCGCCTGGAGTGCAGCCCCGCCCCTGACCAGGTGCTGCAGACCAGCCTGCTGTTCTCGACTGTTCCTGGCTGCACTGGCTTGCATGCTCACCAGGAAAGTCCCTGCTAGAAGCCTGCACATCTGTTTGATCCTCGTCTGGGAGCTGTAGGATGGAGGTGGGAGTGTATTTAGAGTATAATCCTAGGACTCAGATTGGAAAAGTTTTAGGACCAAGAAAAAGGGACAAGGCTCTCAAAGAGAACGGTCTTCTAATGTCACCCACTGATGAACTGTGTGAGGAAGGTTAAGGGTTCCAAAATATTTGTAAAACTTCTTCTGGGCCACTACATGTCTAAGTAAAAACATCTGTAGAATGCTACTAGATGGTAAAGGGTATAGGAGGTGGTAAATACAAGGACTGGGACTGGGCTCAAGAGCTCCAATCCCTGCAGGCAGAGTGCACAGCAGGGCTAACAGAGGGCTCCACACCCTCCTGCCCCTCCACCCAAGCAGGGAGAGCTGCACCAGAGAACAAGCAGCTCCCTGCAGCAGGCGCCTTCCAGAGATCTAGCCAAGTTTTCCTGATGAAAAAATACAACAGCAATTATTAGATTGGCTCCCCAAATTATAACTAGTCCAGGAACACGAGTCAGAATAAAGAACTGTAACTGACACAAAAACTTCACTCTGTACCTGTTTTAAAATTCAACTCTTAAAAAATCTACCCTAGTAAGCTGCAACTTCATAGTAAAGGGGTTCTCTGGACAAAGATTTTAATTCAACTAAATCCCCTACCTCGTTAAAAGGAAAAACTACTGGGAACTTAATATCATCCTATTTAGATTCTGTTACCAGAATCTTGCATAAAACTTTAATTTCCACAATAAGCACAAGCCTAAAGCAGTTCTTAAACGAACTTACAACTGGTAGCTGATTAATGGGCGCTGGAAGATAAACGTTATGACTGAAGATTTTTGCCTCATTAAAAGAATAGTACCAAACGTGAGCAAATGAACTGTATTACTAAGATAAATTAAACAAAACCAAATGTTATTTCTTTTCCCTTTGGTGACTGTGCGGATGTACAAAGGAAACTCAGGGCTGCCGATTTCTCTAATGGGCCCACGGTTTACTCTTTTGAGAGGAAATGGCTAAAAGAAGGGGTAATATAGTGACAGCAAATTCCAGTATTAAACTGGGATGGGATTACTTTGCTAAAATGCGTGAGGAAGATGAAAAAACAACCATTGCCACTTGAAGCTTTTCCATTCTAGTTCTAATAGCACTGATGGTTTCCACCATTTGGAAATAGAGCTCTAGCTTATTTATTAAACAAATCAGCAGTAGCAGGAATGCTGGTATTTATTGAGGTATTGGAATTTTACAACTGATAGCAGTATTTATTATTATTTATTCTGATTGTTTCTTAGTATACTTTTGGCATAGATGGAATTGCTGTTTATCTATCCAGGAGCTTCAGAGAAGAGATAGTTCTGGAAGTATTTCTAGAGCAGAATTATCCTCTACCCGCAGCTAAGAGAAAATGGTTACTTGTTTAAAGATGTGTAAAGCAATACATGGCTCTGGCTTCAGAAGAGAACAGGCTGACAGTAAAGAAATAAAACCAAACCATGGTTGAGTTCAATTATAACTTGCCTTCTTCATACTATGCAACTGCGTCTTCGAGGGGCCTGGGGAGATATTTTCCCACTTGTTTAACTTTACATTGGAATAAAATAAGTTGTCAGCGATGATCTGCTTACAGAAATCATTATATATAGGACTATATGAAGAGTGGGTGTTCTTTGAGCCCTTCAGATGAACCTTATCCACACACACACACACTGCATATGAAGTACAGAGATGAAATAATTTTTGTAATCTGATTCATGAAAGTCAAACTGCAAAAACCTAATTTTACCACGTAAATGGGGAGTGGGTGCACAACTTATATATGTGGTAATTTATACTGCCAAGAATTCACCTCGTTTCCTCTAAATTATACCACACTCATTTTCTTAAGAGTTCTTCACATTCTGATGCTCCAGCAGCTTCGTAACCAAGTCTGTGCTTTAAGACAGCCACGACTAAGTAGGTGTCCAGGGATGAAGGCTGAGCCTTCAGCCTATGATCACAGACTGCTAGGTTTCCTGTTAAGAGATGTGGGAGGGCCAAAACAGGTCTGGGAGATTCATTAGACAAATATATTAGTCAGAGGTACTGTATTAAGATACCAAGTCACTCGAAATTTGGAAAATATCTTAAACAGGCATAATATATAGTGATTCTTGGTAATATACCACCTACCTTATGGTGAACCACTCTACCTATTATCTTAGGTAGAAATTTATATGCAGGGAAGTCTTTGGGGGAATCCTGGGAGGGCCGCACTGCCGCTGTTGTATAGTAAGAAAGCAGGCAAGCCACAAAGGCAACACAAGGGAAGGCTCATTCTTACACTCCAGTTTTTGGTATTCTGAAAATTGCCCTAATAATCAGCTATTCCAAAGGAAACTAAGCGGCGTGGCGAGGAACCACCTGCATGTGTCAACACCCATGTTCAGAGGAAAGAGCTGGAGGGAGACCATTAGCCTTTTCAAACTCTTGAATTTGAGAATCCTGCTTTCACAGGCTAATGGGGGTGGCTAAGCTGCTAGAGACGCTTTTCTTCCAGGGCTGGCTCCCCTTCCTCAGACTGCCCGTTTCTGACACTGCTGCCAAGAGGAACCCAACCTGAAAGGACAGTAAAATGCCACACACATGTGAAGACAAGTTTTATTTGGGAAGTTTTATTTGAAGTTTCTAACTGTTAAAGCTGCAAGCAAGTTCCTTCCACAGTGACAGTTCTAGAGACCTAGTATAGCTTTGGAGATCCCAGTGTTCAAAAGTATATTTCAAAATGATCAACAGAAACAAACCCACAGCAAAAGGAAAAGGCTTTTCGACTGGTTCGGAATGTACAGCCATTGATTTCAGCTGTTCTCAGCAACAGGTCCAGCACTTCCTCGGGTACGAGGTGGTAAAGGAATCAATGCCCACAGAAGGAAATAAGTTAGCTACCTGGACAAGATTATTCACTCCTTAAAAAATACAGTAAGGTACAAGTCCAGGTGGTGGGGTATGTGCTACAGCACCAGTTTCACAGGGAGCTTATGGGATCAGAGGGTCAGCAGTTGCTGGCATGTGGCACACAATAAAAGCAGTCACCAGAAGTGGGGAGAGTGTGGAATGGCAGGGAGTCTCTCCCAGTGGCCCCCAGCCCTTTAACTTGCTAACAGCAGAGGCTGTGTTCTGCAGCATCTTCCAGAGAACATCTGCAACACTTAAAAATCAAAGACAAGCCCCTCCGCATTACTCCCCAGCAAGTCCATGTCTGCGAAGAAAGAGGAACCGGTCAGGGTTCCCACGGGGGACTCCGCCTCCCATCCACTTCTGTTTCCACATGATACAAGACATCAGCCAGAGTGTGTTCTACCACAGCGCCCCAGCCCATGTCACTCATCTGTGGGACAAACAGAAGCAGACAAAGCAGGTGGTTAGAATCTAAACTACATGGAGAAATAACAGAGATACCGAGGATGCATGTGGACACTTGTAATGCTACTCACAGGGTGGTAAGCGAGATCCTTTGGAGGACACTTGAAGCATGGTCCAAAGTTAATGGAAACCTGGGACAAATTCAATTCAAGCAGACATGAAAAAACTGAAGAAAACAGTAAAAAAGTTTAATGTGACACGGGAAACTTTCCTCTTTAAATGTAGCTATGATATTCATGGTATAGCTGGAAGAGATGACAGGTATTAAACCGCTCAACATGGTCAGTACCCTGATGTCCATCAAAAATTAGGCAAATAAAATATTCTTGTGTTGATTTCTGTTTATAACCTAAGCATTTTCTTATTTACTTCAAAGGTGGCTACTGACAGACCAAAAACACATGGAAACTTCCAGGAATCACCTTTCCAAATCACTTTTAATTTCCCCAGCCCCCACCAACTAACAGGGTCTAATGATAGTGCTCTTCATAGTGGATCATGTAAAAATAAAATCACTGTAAGCTACAGATTTAATGATGGCAGGTTATCACGACATGTAACACCAAGCATGTACCTGGATTTAAGCATGTGCATACTCTACACCGTTTCCACTGAACAGTATCAGTACACTCAGGAAAAGTACAGGGCTAACTGCATGATGTTTATCCACCCAAGCAAATAGTTCCTAACACACCCAGCTGTGAGAGAACAAGGAGCAACAGCAGGAACATATTTCTCACTCTTGGGCTATTCAGACCTCTTTCCAGAACTCAACCAGTCAATGGCTCTTCCACCACAACCACTCACAGGATGGACGGGAGATACATACCGTGCAGCTCTTGTACAGTGAGATGGCTGGAAAGTAAACGCCCTCAAAAATATCTTTGTAAGCCACACCTTGATTGACACCGTTTTTATAAAATATTATCTAAAACAAAAACCATGGTTTTACTTCAGAATGTAACAACAGAACACACAGACTAAAAGGAACTTGCCCGGAGAGCCCTTTAAGAGCTGCCACGGTACTGGTGATCATGTAGCCCGAGAACGCATGTAGCCCATGTAGTAACAGTTTCTTACACTTATGTAATACTGTAGATTTTTCAGAGCACATTTACATGCACTGTTCTGGCCAGTCTTCAGGTTTATTTGCTTTCTGAATCCCTATGCCACCTATACCAAACAGCTCTGCTTTCTATTATTCATTATATATGTGTATTCAAACAAACTAATTTGGTTTTCCACTGATTCCTTGAACTATATACTCTTTCAAGCTTATTTATGTCCCTTTCTCTTGCATCAGGTTCACTTCTGCATTTCTATTTTGAAAATCTTAGCCTCTTCTGTCAAAGTCTCTGAATCTTCATTTTGTCATTTCTCTCTCAAAACTGTCCTGAATATTCTCTTCACCACTATATATGGACTTCAGAAAATGCTCCTCGTTCTGAAGTAACTTTCTCTGCCTCTTCCCAGCATGAGTTGCCATTGCCCTAGCTGTATCATACTTACCTCTAATAATTGTTTCCTTATTTTTTTCCTAAAAACTGGAACCCTAGTTTATTTCTCCCACATTTGTTCCTATTACTGTCCCAAGTGGCTACAGAATTTTTGTGGAATGATGTTTCCAGCTCAGAACTTTCTTCTGTTCCTCCCTCTTCTACTTTTGGCCTTTGTGGCTGGTCCACCTGGACCAGCCGTCCTTGGGCTATGACCTTGGGCACACGTTCCCAGCAAGCCCAGAAGAGGGAATAGGGAAAGTTCCAGAGGACACTGAACGAGCGATGGCAGCTCTTCTGCCTCCAGGTCACAGAGCAAGGCCCCTTCCTCTCCTGCTCCAGAGTCCCTCTGCCTGTGCTCGGTGCCTCCTCTGATCAAGAATGATTCTCTCTCTTGCTTCCTCCATTGTTTATGGACTTCCAAACTAGGCCAATGATTTTTACCCTTTTCTCCGTGCAGTGTAGCCCAGAAGCACAGAGCAAGCACAGACCCAGCAGGGGCGACAGGGGACCTGCCCTGCTACTGGCTAGCTGTCTTAGCCAAGAATCCCTTCATTCATCTTTGGGCCTCATTTTCTTCACTTTTATAAGTAGGGAGTTGGGCCCAATCTTCAAGGTCTTCCACTTCTGATGTTTTTGTTACCATGACTCACCTCACTATGCGGAGTCTGCTTTAGGCTTTTCTCTGCTTTATCGACAAAATCTTTTTCCTCAAAATATAAATAACTCTTGAACTTTATCAAAGCCTTGAAAACAAAGAGAGAAAGCAAGAAAAATAAGCATCAGCCACATCACTAAAAAAAAAAAAATTTTTTTAAAGCCAGATTCACATACACAGAACTAAGCCCAGGTGTTGTACAACATAGATTAAAAATACCTGCAGGATCGCTGAGATCTGTGAGGAAACAATATACACGTAAATATATACACACATACACACACACTCACCACAGCAAAATACCCATAAACATGACTAAAATGAATTCAGACTCCTCTCAACCCCAGCCCACCAATAACCTCAGTGAAAGAAATGAAACATGTACTGAACCAAAACCCCCCTGTTCTATAAAAACATGTTGAGGGACACTTCTTCCTCCTCATCCCATCTCTCCTACAGGGGGTCTCTGGGTCACCGTTTCTTGCTGGGTACCAATAGTCTAACTATACATTCCCAGATAAATATGACATTAATTTTTAAAAATTTGAATTCAAAAAAAATTTTTTAATCAAAAAATGCACAAGAACATAAAATGAAGAGAATCACTTCCCCTGCAGTAAAGGGTCTACAGACATGCAACAGCAGGGATGGGCCTCAGGGGGGCTGTGCCAAAGGATGAAAGACACCAAAGCGACACACTGCATGGTCCCATTTACAGATGTTCTAGAACAAGCAAAGCTAATGGAATAGTGGAATAGAATTTCAATGGAGAGAAACAATCCGAGAGTGTTTGCCTCCATGGAGGTAAAGGTTTGGACTATCTGGGAGGAGAATGAGGGAACTTCCTGGGGTGACAGGGCTACATCTTATAAGGGCTTGGGTCAAACTCAAAGCTCAGTGAATGGGCACTTAACATTGGTACGTTTCATTTTATGTAAATTTTATATTAAAAGAAAAAGCTAAACAAAGATTGAATTCTAGCTAGTGGTTAAGTATCCTAAAATAGTGCAAGGGAGTATACTGATGGCTGCAGTATTCTCTGAGGTACATTAAAAAAAAGACG